TGTATTCCATTTGTTGACCTCCCGTCCAGGCCTCGAGTATTTCCTTACATTTATTCGACTCTTTTTGCATTTCCAGCATTCATATATGTCCTCTCGTCCTACTTTCTCTCAATTGAAGGAGTCTGTCCTTGTCCCCCATGTCTATTCCCCTCAGTATCTTATATGTTGTGATTATATCTCATCTGCTTCTTCTGTCCTCTAAGGTTGTGAGATCTATAGCTTACTCCTCTTGCAAGGCTCTGCCACTAATCTTGTTGAAAGCCTCCGTACTTTTTCCATTCTGATTTTATGCTTCACAAGATGCAGATTCCAGTTGACCAAACCACACACTAGAAAGTAAAGGGACGACGACGTTTCGACTTGAGAATGGTCCAGGACGGACCGAAACGTCGTCGTCCCTTCACTTTCTAGTGTGTGGTCTGGTCATCATATTTCAGCCACGTTATTGTGACTCCTCGTCTGCAGATTCCAGTATTGGTATTGGTCTAACAAAAGTCACCGCCACCACCCCTGCCACCACCCCTGCCACCACTACCACCACCCCTGCCACCACTACCACCACCCCTGCCACCACTACCACCACCCCTGCCACCACTACCACCATTTACAACAACCTCCACCTACCCCCACTAGACAGCAAGCGTGCCGCCCCTACGCCCAACTGCCCCCCCCCCCCCACCCCCACCCCCGGCCGTCTTCATCTCGTTACGGGTTATACTCCGTCAAATGGCGCGGAAAAGCAACCATTAAGCGGTGATGTAGAGGCGTCACGTTGCTGTTAACAAGACCCCAGACCCGGTGGTTCACGAGAAGCCCGGCCCAGTGGCTCACGCCCGACTTGGTGATTCACTAGATCTGGTGATTCAAGAGACAGTCGATCCGGTGATTCACGGGACGCCTGGCCCGCAGCCCGTCCTCTAAACAAGACCAAAAGTCCATTCCATGCACCCGCGAAACCCCCTCTGTTTATGAATGAAAAGTGGTTTATACACAACCCGTCCTCAGACCAAGTCTATTCCATCCAGCAGTCGACCCCACAGACGCATTCATCAATTTTAATTAACATACTGTTTATTCAAAATAGAATTTTTCTCAAATATAAATTAATATTGTTATTAATAACAGCTGCTATTGCCTCAATAGTTGTTGCTACTGCTGCTGCTGCTATTGTCGCTACATCTAGCTGTTTCTACTGCTACTATTGGCGCTACATCTGTTTCTACGCCTGCTACTCATCTCTGACTTACAGTGATATTTACCCAGCAGTAGATTGGAGGGAAAAACCTGCAATGCTACAACACAATCCAGGGTTTTACACAACTCCCCCATGCATTCGAGCTATGTCAATAGGCCTGTTGACATAGCTCGACAACATAGATCCAGCTGCCCAGTGCCGCTGCCTTAGATCATAGGGCGTCGTGCGAGCGGGTTTTAACATCTTCCTTTTCCCGGATGTAATGGTTGGCTAATTTCTTGTTTGTGTTTTTTATTTTCTTGTGGCGCTCTGCGTCTCGAGGAGGTGTTAATAATGCCTCCTTAATGGTGCGGAGATGAGGCTACATGGCGGAGAATATAGAAGCTTAGTCAAATTGTTTTCATTTTAGTCTACTTTTCCGTTTTTTTATTATATAGTATATAATTTATATTTAAAATCAAGCGTTAGGCTATTAATCTTTCATTTTTCATGTATGAATAATGTATTTGAAATTTGTAAACTAAGTCGCTTATAAATGCGCAATAATTGCATAAATTAAAATTTGTGAATTTGGGAAAGTGCAAACTCTGTGTATATTTGTGAATAAAAATTGTCAATTTCAATTTCAATTAACCTATACTGAACCATTAGATGCATCCATGTTGCACAGGACCTCCATAAACTAGGGAAGTTTGATCAGTTTAGATGCTAAATGCGTCAACCTTCATTCACTACGCCAGGCGGCGTTGACGGACGGACGCTCTCCCGGTTTATAATAATAATATTTTATTTAGAAAAAGTACATACATAGATGCAGAGTTGCATACATTCTGATTGATTTATAGATAGAGCTAGTACATACAATACCTAAAGCCACTAGTACGCATAGCGTTTCGGGCGTTTTTGTCAAGTCCGTTTTTCAGGAGGTCACCCTGCTAGTGGAGGTTAGGGGACATTCCTGACCGGGAACATGAGTAGTGTCGAGGCTGGAGAAGAGCCGTGATAAACCCCCCACGACATTTTAGCAGCAAGAGGGATGAATGCCCCCAGGGATCGCGTTACGGTCCGCCTTGCCCTGGCTGCCCTAGGCTCCGCATCAGTTCGGAGCTTACGAACATGCTTCTCTCTAAGATTTCTTGTTTTTTTTATATATTCACTCACTATATCACGGCGTTTATTTGGTTAACATTATTCCTATGGTTGCCACAGCGTGATGGTATTCAAATGTCACAATATATTTGGCAATTTATACCGTATTTGCCAGTTTCTTTGCTCTCAGTATTTCTCAAATTTTACACGCTGGTATTTTTGCACATTTCTACTACAGTTGACAGCTTTGTTGCCATAGCCGGGGTTACCCGTGTCGTCGACAATGGCAGAGGCTTGCACTGGGTAACTATCCGAGACGAGTGCCATAAGATAATTATATCATTCGTGTATATCACAATGCCAGCTGTCATAATTAGAAACTGGAGAATGTTATTATACTCTGCCTTGTTGTCTGTCGGGTTGCTAATGCCCTCATGCTTATTCAGTGATATTGTTGTGAGGTTTTTTTATTTGTGACTTGTTTAGTGACTGTTTTTAGTGACGCTTCCTGTGATTTTTGTGGGTTGTGACGCTGTGACTCTTGTGTTTGTAATACTTTCTTTGACATGTGTTTGCGACGGTTCCTGTGACTTGTTTATCCCGCTTCCTGTGACTTGTTTATCACGCTTCCTGTGACTTGTTTATCACGCTTCCTGTGACTTCTTTATCACGCTTCATGTGACTTGTTTATCACGCTTCCTGTGACTTGTTTATCATGCTTCCTGTGACTTGTTTATCACGCTTCCTGTGACTTGTTTATCACGCTTCCTGTGACTTGTTTATCATGCTTCCTGTGACTTGTTTATCACGCTTCCTGTGACTTGTTTATCACGCTTCCTGTGACTTGTTTATCACGCTTCCTGTGACTTGTTTGTTCAATCCATCCTCTTACTAATATTCCGCGTTTTTTTTACGGCTGGAAGTGCAGTTGTCCTGACAATGGGCGATTACTTGTATTTTGAGTGGGGAGTCTGTATAAACAACTGGGCCTCTACCCGTCAGACCGAACTATTTATGTACAAGTCCAAAATATGTACAAGTCTCCAAACTTGATACACTAATTGTAAGTGATTCCTTGACATCCTTAAATGCAGGTCAACTCTTTAAGACATAATTTAAGACGTAATATGCTCGTGTCTGAAGCTATATACAAATACAACAAAATTATTAATGATTGAACAGAGTCCATTTCATGTGGATTCCATCTCGTGTTGGCCTCCGAATGCATGATAGAGCTGATGAGTTAGTAAAATAATCTGCTTTCAAAGGGGTTGATTACAATCATGGATTGGCTATAGGGCAGTCTGAGAGCAATAGTACACAAAGAACTTCAATAAAACCTTATAGATCTGAGGCAAAATGAAATCTACACTAGTAATTCCATCTGTCATCATACTAACATGCAAGAGGAGCCACACATCTATGGATCATCCAATAAAATCAGCAGAATCCTAGATGTTACTACTGCTCGGCTGTAAGTATCTCTGGGAATTTTCATTACCTGCTGATGTAAACCTGACCAAATGTAAACTGTCAACAAAATTATTCGCACACCCTCCGTCACTATGTGATGGAGTGCGAAAATATATAAGAATTCAGAGACAATTCTGTAACAAATGTTCAAGGAATGTGTAAATATTTAATTCAAAATGGTCCACTACTAGAAAGTTTGTTAAGAAAGAATTCACTAAGTTTGCTAACTGTATATAGTAAATGTGGTTGATTGTTACCTTTTCACCGCTGGCCATTGGTTGACGGGGGGGGGGGCGGTATCCAGGATAAACATATCAATTATGACACTAGCTCACCACATATGTAAGTTGCTTAATTTAGAAACTATTTGTGTTGTTGTAACAATACTCTTTCAGCAATGTTACCATTGTTGATGTAACAATATACATTACATTTGTTAACTAGCTCATCAAGACTGTAACTTGCTTAGCTAAATGAATTGTGGGGTTCAGTCCCTACCCATTATGTGCCTCTGTAACTCTTTCCACTACCGTCCACAGGATGGGTATGGGGTGCATAATAACTGAATAAAATTAATTCACAGACCAATGCCATTAGCTAAGCTGTCGTCTGATCCTATCCCCTCATCCCTTATAAATGTTATATATTGTTTCTTGAATCCGATAAATGACATTTACATATTAATACCAAATCAGAACTCCTTAAAATTCGTATGCAAAGTACACAGTATATTAACTATATTAACGAATATAATCTTCTCCGCTTGGCACCTTTTGATAATTACTTATCAGTCTCCTTCACACCTCTACATAAATCTACATAATCCTGAGACGTTGTCTGTACACCATGTTTCACATTAATATCTGAGTTCTCCTGTGAAAATTACCATAAATAAGATTTCGAATAACTATAACATTCTCATATTCAAATTAAATAATATATGTAGCCTCCTCAGTATTCTACATATGGGATTTTTACTCCAACCAACAATTGCACACCGAGATGCTATGTGCATTCAGCATTTCTCCTTTAGAACAACCTTTAATTACTCTTAGGTCTGCTAGCTTGCAAATTATAATAAACTACTTCAATTTTGTTAGAGCCAAAGCCTTATCCGTAACACATACTCCAGCAGCTGCTGTAAACACCGGAGGGCTGCTAAAAACCACCCCGACTCCATAACATCATACACGTTCTCTGTGCATGATTGAAAAGGACAAAGCATATGAGTAACACAACTGCCTGATCTTCGTGTTTATTGCGGTGGGCTAACTTGCGTTCGTGGGGCGCTGAATGACGGTGAGCACAGGCACAACGAAACCATTTTTTTTTAGAACCCATTGTACTTCTTTGGGAGCCTAATGGTGCTGCACGTGGTGCTTTACAGTGAGCTTAGTTGCTTTATATGAAGAGCCCGAGTGCTCTACAAGGGCCTATACTTATGGTAAGTATTATCTCGTAAGATAATACTTATTTGTAAGTATTAATTGCAGTTATTTCCGGTCGATTGGAGACCTCGAGTAGTCCAAGAAATTAGAGCGTTGGAGGTGGCGTGACTTGTGATCACTGTGAGGGTATGTCCACAGTATATTACTGGGAGGGAAGAGTTCCCAAGTTATGACTTGGGAACGGAGTGAGGGAGAGTATGTCTTGCTATGAACACTTCGGCGACGAAGGAGGCGCCGGCGAGGAGAAGCCCCAACAGAAGAGCCCAGAAGGGTCCCTGCAAATGAGTCATGCTGAGGGGTTGCAGATTCTCCCCGGATTCTGTTGCGCTGCGGCTCTCCTGCTGCAGCTGCGCCTGCTGCTGCTGGTCCTGCTGTGCCTGCTGCTGCTGCTGGTCCTGCTGCTGCTGCGCCTGCTGCCTTCTGTGGCGAACCTCCTGCCACGTCTCCCGCACCATGTCACTGGTAAACTTCTCCTTCAGACCACTCTGGTGACAACAATAGGTAATGATGCATTTCACAATTCCAAGTGTAGTGGACATGTGCAAGTACGTCAGCCCATACTCAGCTTGCTCACGTCTCCCGTTGTAGTGTAATATACAAGTTGTAGATAATAATGTTATTTTAGGTATTTACAAGAAAAATCTTATATCTTTAAATATATGAGTGAAGCTCATATATTCTGGTTAAAGCATCATTCTGGTTAAAATAATACGAATTTCAACTTGTAATTTTCCAGGTAAAAAAAAAATATTCTGCAGAGGTGATACTTTAGGGTGGGAGAGGGAGGAATGAGGGTGTTGCCTGACCTCAATGATCCGCAGGAGCCAGAGGTCAAGTGTGTGCTTGTACGGGGCGTCGTGCGGGGTCATGTAGGCAGCGTAGTTGGGGATTACATTGTGCCGGGCCACGTAGAGGGGCGTAGAGCCCTCAGGACTAGTGAAGAACTCCTCGATGTAAAGCTCCATGTTGTACCGCTCGTGGAAGAGGGCGACCCTGAAAGGAGGTTTTCTCCTCTACTCCCTTTAGCATGTTAGCCTAGTCGTTGCCAAAACGATAGGCTAAATTTTCCGTGTAAAACACGTGCACTAAATATAATGAGAACTGTTAAGACTCTTACAAAACTAACAGTAATACAAGCTACCAAATCTGCCACAAGGATGTCACAGAGCTTTAGATCATTACCCGATACTCACACGAGCTATTTTCTTTTTCAGATATTTCAAACAACAACAAAAATTAAAGCACAAAAAAAAAATTGCTCTTGTGTTAAAACTTCTGGCCATGAAAATTCAGCATAGCCATTTGAACATATTGTCATATAACAAGTGAATAAATTTAGTTTAACGAAAAATTAGTTTATTTGTTTTGAAAATAATGCAAATGAAGAACAGTATACTCAATGCCAGACAGAGCATTAAAAAGACTATTTGGAGCTCTAAGGCTGATAACCAAACACATACCAGGTTATACCTGTTTGACGGGGGTTCAGGGAGTTCTTCTACTCCCCCAAGCCAAAGGTTATGTAGCTGTATTGTTGCTAGAAATTTACTACAAATCCTATAAAATTGTTACAGTCATGCTAGAGACTAACAAAAGCAAACTGGTGGACAAAATCAAATTTTCTCACCTCTTCTGAGAGACCTTCTTCAGGCCAGCCTCAATACTCTCCACAATGTCCACACGACTGCTCACACTCTTATACGAACTCAGATTGGATTCCTGGAAGTACTTCAGGTACTGTGTGGCGTTCGGAATGAACATGGCCCTAAAGAGACAGACATGATCATGGAACCTAAACGTTCTTTTGATATTAGCGTTACATATATATTAAACAAAAATGTTGATTTCACTGATCTTACGATAAAACAGATTCTTCACTAATTATTATTTATTTCTCTTGTATATATGAGATGTCATTCACAATTATAAGATTGTCTAGATCATGTGAAAAAAAATTCACTCGATGTGAACTGTGAATTATGTTATAACTAGATGTATAAGGAACAGGACGAAGTAGAAAAAATATGTAGCGTTTAATGATTATTTGGCCCGTCTCCATCCAAATGTTGAAATGACGGAATAAATAATAACATATACAAATAATTAAATAACTAGACGCATCCTATGCCACCGCATCATGCGACACAAACTCAAACAAAATTCTTTACAAATTTTAGAACTTATAGTTTATGTGCATGGAATGATACAAAACATGACATAGAATGGTCTATTTTTTATTGGTTTGTGTCTATTGGAATTCTCTCTACCGGATTGATCCGATAAAGACAGTAGAAATAAAGATAATTAAAATATTCCTTAAAATTAAAATTAAAAATTATTATATAACAATAAAATAATATCGTATTAATGCAATATTTGATACCGTGGGCTGTAACGTTAAATTATATCATGATGTAAACTGTAGACATATGTACACCGAGAAGTGTATAGTACCCCGCTTCTCTGAGTACATACACGAAGAGGTTTACCTTTGACTTTGTTCAAGCCTACAGTATACTCACATTGCTTGTCGGTTAGTACACTGTGATGGCGACCTTCAAAACAACTATTGTAATCAGTACTAAAGTAACTTTGTAAACCCTTGCAGTGCTGTCAACTTCTGCCAACTATATATATATATATATATATATATATATAATATTTATATATAGATATATATTATATATAATATATATATATATATATATATATATATTATAATATATATATAGATGAAAAGTATATAAAAAATACCGGTTATTTGTTATAATAATGAAAAGTATATAAAATACCGGTACCCACCTGACACCTTCCCAGTCACCAGTACCCACCTGACACCTTCCCCAGTCACCAGTACCCACCTGACACCTTCCCCAGTCACCAGTATCCACCTGACACCTTCCCCAGTCACCAGTACCCATCTGACACCTTCCCAGTCACCAGTACCCACCTGACACCTTCCCCAGTCACCAGTACACACCTGACACCTTCCCCAGTCACCAGTACCCACCTGACACCTTCCCCAGTCACCAGTACCCACCTGACACCTTCCCCAGTTCCCGATACCCACCTGACACCGACGCGAGCGAGATCGTCAATAGTTTCCGGGCGAGCCGGGTACTTGGGTATGGTGAGGAAGGCGGTGAGGGTGCCACGGTAAGCCGTGCCTATGATAAAGGCCAAGAATGCCCACACCGCCACCAGCATTCGGACAGACATTACACTGGACAGATTCGCCATTATGTCCTGTCCAAGCATCATGGCGACCATCTTGAGCGTGGTGGAACCAGTCTTCAGGGTGTTTCTTGCCTTGAAGTCCCCGGCGTACGCTACCTGTGACCAAAAGCGCTTGACAAAAATAGTCTTCTCTGAGCACTCTATAACTGAACTTGACATAAGGACGTCACTTTTCTGTATCAACACTAGGCCTATGCTAGTGAATTATACATAAATGCCACTCAGTGTATATATATTTTCAACATTTGTACTCTACAGGAGTCAGAATCAGAGGAAGATCACCACCTACCAGGTACAAGAGCCCTGACATGACCAGAGAGAGAGAGAGGAAGATCACCACCTACCAGGTACAAGAGCCCTGACATGACCTGAGAGAGAGAGGAAGATCACTACCTACCAGGTACAAGAGCCCTGACATGACCAGAGAGAGAGGAAGATCACCACCTACCAGGTACAAGAGCCCTGACATGACCAGAGAGAGAGAGAGGAAGATCACCACCTACCAGGTACAAGAGCCCTGACATGACCAGAGAGAGAGAGGAAGATCACCACCTACCAGGTACAAGAGCCCTGACATGACCTGAGAGAGAGAGGAAGATCACTACCTACCAGGTACAAGAGCCCCGACATGACCAGAGAGAGAGGAAGATCACCACCCACTAGGTACAAGAGCCCTGACATGACCAGAGAGAGAGGAGGATCACCACCTACCTGGTACAAGAGGCCAGGCATGACCAGGAGAGCGGCTGCCAGCGCTACCCACACCTCGCCCCTGAGCGGGTAGTACATGTTCTGCCAGAGCGGTTTAATTGTGGGCTTCGCCATGCTGAAGGTGAAGGTTGCCCGCTCGATGAAGTAGGTGTGGTCGACGCGGGCCAGGATCTGGGGTATCAACATCACCCGGAAGGCAGAGATCATGGCCGAGCCATCTTCAAGTTTGTCCATCACCTAATTCAACCACCAGCTGATTTAAAACATATTTATTGATATTTATCTGCAAAAGTATGCTTCCAGCTCAAGTTGGAAGGGAATAAAAAAAAACTGCTTTTACTTTGCAAATGCTGAGATTCTCATTAGAATTTATACAGATGATAGAATCTCGAAAGAATATTTTTTAAATACCTAAATTGTATCGTACAGTGATGTGTTCACTCATGCACCAAGGATGTGTTCACTCATGCACCAAGGATGTGTGTTCATCCATGCACCAAGGATGTGTGTTCATCCATGCACCAAGGACATGTGTGTCTATCATGCACCAAGAATATATGAACCTCAGTACCAATAATGTGGCTATCATTAATATATTAATTATATTAATTAAAACACCACAACCCTTCAACATCTATATTTGGTCTGTTATGTACTCTATCTTAGAAGGATACTTTCTCTCTCTCTGGACGCATTCACTATTCTGCTGATTTCAGTTAGTTAAATGTATTTAATTATATCAGCTTTATTAACCCGAGTGCTGCATAGTTTATTTTCGTTAGAGTAGCCGTATATTGCTTCACACAGGGAAGGTTGGCAAGGTCTTCACTGTCAGACACTGAGGCAAAGTCATTATTAACCATACTGGTCATATCTGCTTCAATATTTATTAGTTGGATCATATTTGTTTACACAGGTGCTGTTTTTTCCACCACTTTGATCTGGTAAAGCTGGAAAAAGTCTTTGGAATTTGTTTTTGTATTTATTTCTTGCTACCCCTGGTTTCATAAGCTAATTAAGCCTTTCTTATTTCCCCTTTAATGTCTCCTTTTATTTTTGTCCACATTTATTTGGTAGTTTTCTCAATCTTTGAATCTCTTTTATATGTTTTTTTGTTGTCCTATCACGTATTTTGCTTTGTTGATCATTTGGGATCATTATTATCCGAACGAAGTAGTCAGTAAAAGGATGTCTTACTGTGTCAGTATAAGTGTATAAATGTTAGTGAAGGTGCTGTGTTCCTCGTCATTTAAAATAATTTTATACAATAACTGCAACACAAATAATAATATAAATTTACTTTATAAATACAACACAAAAACATTCACATGTAAACGAGACTTTAGGTGAACCTCGACTATACTGAGAGAGCGCCGGAAACCGATGGAGAAGTTGAGGGCTCGGGCGACGGAGTTGATCATGAGGCAGTCTCTGCCGGAGTACCTGGTGGTGGCGTCCCCACCCGTGCCGGAGTACCTGGTGGTGGCGTCGCCTCCCGTGCCGGAGTACCTGGTGGTGGCGTCCCCACCCGTGCCGGAGTACCTGGTCGTTGTGCCGTCACCGGTGTCCCTACCCACCGTTTTCCAGAACGGGGACACCAGCATCATCGTCACCGGAACTTGAGCACCGTGGAAACTGGTGGCTCCGGGGGTGAGGGAGGGTGCTTGGGTCAAGGAGCGGTTAAAATGTACATTCCTGATTGTAAATTATTAAAATAAAAGGTGTGTGGGTTATTATTACTGTTAAAATCAGTAGGAGCCATGACGACGATTCCAACTTATGCACTGGGATTCCAACCTAGACATGGTCCAAAGCAGAGCAACCTGGGATTCAACTGAATCCTTGAGAGGTCCCGAGACTTCAACTGAAGCCAAGTCAAGGATTTCACATATTGATCCCATGTACTCTAGGTGTGGGGCAGTGGTCTAAGGTGTCAACTTGGAACTACCCACAGCATTGGTTCGAATCCTCCCTCCCCATGGTTCCTACTGATTTTCTCATTGATACGTTACGTTAATGTGATTTCTTTGTGCATTATTATTATTATTATTATTATTATTATTATTATTATTATTATTATTATTATTATTATATATAGTATTATCTTTACTGTTATTATAAATATTATCAAATAATTATTACTAGCGCATTTGGGTATAAAAATTGTTCACATGTCATGTGAAGATCAGATGTTCATCATCTTCCTCTCATATGGTCATTGATGGGTTGTATATTAGTGTTTTCTTGTTTAGTTTTGTGAGAGGAAGGGGTATTTGGCGCCTCCGTGAGATGGCCACCACTTGGGTGTTATCTGGGGCAACGATAACCTGTCTCCGGAAAAAGTGAGTGTACAGTCATCAGCACAGGCGCTAACCTTTGGTATTAACTAGATGTTGCAAATGAACGGTACCATGACAGGAACGCTGGGTACCCTCGCCTCTATGGTATAAATAATAGATCATAATCTACACAAACTACAATCAGTATAAACCACCACTATCTGTACAGACGACCACAATCATTACAAACTAGTATAATCTATAAAAAAAATCATTGTATAAATCTCCATTCAATAAGAACCACAATTGTACGAGTCACCCCTTTATACTCCCATTTTCCGTGTAAACCTCCACTGGTTTAGAATAATCATGTGTGATAGAGCAAGGAACACTACAGTAGATCTACTCACGTAGCTGTATCCTGTTTTTAGTAGTCCTACTGGCTTTAGTGATGCTAAGGATTAACTGTGCCATATCTTGCTGTTTATTTTCCAGAAAAAAATGTCATCCTTCCTAAGTGCAATAAATACGTAAAGCATAATTTAAGTATAAAGTTTCAACATAATGTTCCCCACTATTTTGGTCTATATAAAGTACAGAGAGTGATAAACACACTTGGCAAACTTCTCCTGGAAGAGCTGCGTGGCGGACACCCACTCACGAGGAGCTCCGGAGGACCACTGCGCCAGGAGCACCAGCCGCGCCCCCTCCCGGCTGTACGGCAGGTGTGTGTACACGCCACACCTGCAGGAGGTACACACACAGTGGTGCTGGGAACACACACACAGTGGTGCTGGGAACACACACAGTGGTGCTGGGAACACACACACAGTGGTGCTGGGAACACACACACAGTGGTGCTGGGAACACACACAGTGGTGCTGGGAACACACACACAGTGGTGCTGGGAACACACACAGTGGTGCTGGGAACACACACACAGTGGTGCTGGGAACACACACACAGTGGTGCTGGGAACACACACACAGTGGTGCTGGGAACACACACACAGTGGTGCTGGGAACACACACAGTGGTGCTGGGAACACACACAGTGGTGCTGGGAACACACACACAGTGGTGCTGGGAACACACACAGTGGTGCTGGGAACACACACACAGTGGTGCTGGGAACACACACAGTGGTGCTGGGAACACACACACAGTGGTGCTGGGAACACACACAGTGGTGCTGGGAACACACACACAGTGGTGCTGGGAACACACACACAGTGGTGCTGGGAACACACACACAGTGGTGCTGGGAACACACACAGTGGTGCTGGGAACACACACAGTGGTGCTGGGAACACACACACAGTGGTGCTGGGAACACACACAGTGGTGCTGGGAACACACACACAGTGGTGCTGGGAACACACACACAGTGGTGCTGGGAACACACACAGTGGTGCTGGGAACACACACACAGTGGTGCTGGGAACACACACAGTGGTGCACAGTGGTGCTGGGAACACACACACAGTGGTGCTGGGAACACACACACAGTGGTGCTGGGAACACACACACAGTGGTGCTGGGAACACACACAGTGGTGCTGGGAACACACACAGTGGTGCTGGGAACACACACAGTGGTGCTGGGAACACACACACAGTGGTGCTGGGAACACACACAGTGGTGCTGGGAACACACACACAGTGGTGCTGCTGGAACACACACAGTGGTGCTGGGAACACACACAGTGGTGCTGGGAACACACACAGTGGTGCTGGGAACACACACAGTGGTGCTGGGAACACACACACAGTGGTGCTGGGAAGATGGTTGTGTGGACGTAGACGCTCAGGTAAAAATAGTGATTGATGCAGTAATTACATATTAAAGTGATATAAGGATGATATGCGCGGTTCAGGGATAAGGTTCTGGATCTAATGGATATATATATATATATATATATATATATATATATATATATATATATATATATATATATATATATATATATATATATATATATATATATATATATATGTCGTACCTAGTAGCCATAACGCACTTCTCAGCCTATTATGCAAGGCCCGATTTGCCTAATAAGCCAAGTTTTCACGAATTAATTGTTTTTCGACTACCTAACCTACCTAACCTAACCTAACCTAACTTTTTCGGCTACCTAACCTAACCTATAAAGATAGGTTAGGTTAGGTTAGGTAGGGTTGGTTAGGTTCGGTCATATAATTACGTTAATTTTAACTCATATAACATTTTTTTTACCTCATACATAATGAAATGGGTAGCTTTATCATTTCTTAAAAAAAAATTAAAGAAAATATATTAATTCAGGAAAACTTGGCTTATTAGGCAAATCGGGCCTTGCATAATAGGCTGATAAGTGCGTTCTGGCTATTAGGTACGACATATATATATATATATATATATATATATATATATATATATATATATATATATATATATATATATATATATATATATATATATATATATATGTCGTACCTAATAGCCAGAACGCACTTCTCAGCCTACTATTCAAGGCCCGATTTGACTAATAAGCCAAGTTTTCATGAATTAATGTTTTTTCATCTACCTAACCTACCTAACCTAACCTAACCTAGCTTTTTTTGGCTACCTAACCTAACCTTACCTATAAATATAGGTTAGGTTAGGTTAGGTAGGGTTGGTTAGGTTCGGTCATATATCTACGTTAATTTTAACTCCACTAAGAAAAAATTGACCTCATACATAGAGAAAAGGGTTGCTTTATCATTTCATAAGAAAACAATTATAGTAAATATATTAATTCAGGAAAACTTGGCTTATTAGGCAAATCGGGCCTTTAATAGTAGGCTGAGAAGTGAGTTCTGGCTACTAGGTACGACATATATATATATATATATATATATATATATATATATATATATATATATATATATATATATATATATATATATATATATTTATATATATATATTTCGGTAAAATGCGATTGATTATATTGTACTAGTTTAGATTACAATATTCTTATTTAGTATGTGTTACATTTATCTTGGAACTTAGAAGTAACTACAATGGAGTACTCGTTACTATTTTGGGGTTCCTGTCCACAGTTCTTTTTAATAATGTTAGAAAAAATTACAAACAGAGCCGCTCATCTAGTAACGTGCTTCAACCAATACTGTACATGAAGAAAACATATGACTGGTTTCTGTATTCAACAAAGTTCACAAAATGCGTACCCTAATGTAGCTTCTTTAAATGTCTTTCCTTAACGAATAAACTACCAAACAAGAAGTGAGAGATTTCAGCTGTTCTCTGTACATGAACAGATATTTCGACTCTTTTTTATCACATGAAATATAGCATTATTAATTTATCTTTATAATTACATTATCAGGAGGAAGCGCTAAGCCATTACACCTGTACAACAATTGGAAGATATATGAGGATAAGGATTTGGGATAGGACGGAGGAGAGGAATGGTGCCCAACCACTTGACGGTCTGCGATTGAAAGCCGACCTGCAAGCAAGACCGTCTAGTCTCCAGTCCAGGGGCACCATTCCTTCCCTCCGTCTTATCCTAAATCCTTATTTTCATATTCATTCCAAGTGCTATATAGAACTCTGCAGGTTTGTACTTACATACTTCCTGCCTATTTTACAATCATTATTTTGTACTTTCCACAAAATTTAAGAAGGAACTCTTGTGTCATTCATTAGAAGAATTATAGGACAGGTTTGATTTTTTTTAAGAATTTCAATTTTAATTTAATTATATATTAATATACAGTCATATTGTCGGAAAATCCGACACCATTTAATATATCATACAGACAGATAATAATTGCTGCTGTATTACCAACAAGTTACCCATAGAAAACGTAACTTGTAGTGGAATTACCGTCTAAAGAAAACGGGATATCATCACCACATACCATTATAAATTCACCAGCTATTCTGCTGGGAATTATTCTTAAATACATTAGTCTTTGGACTTTACCATCATAAAAACATCTTATATAAATTAACTTAATTATCGATATTAAAGTAGAGTAAATGTGACCCTTCTATCACTTTCTGTCATGTGGACAATGTAAGCCAGGCGTCAGGGTGAGGGAGGGCAGCCATTGTTGTCACCTCCGGTACGTGTGGAGCAAATTCGGCTCCTATCATATCTGGACAATGTCGGCCAGTAGCGTCAATAGTATGGAGTGTTAGACATTGCCATTGTTGAGACTAGACCAGAGGCTCACACGGGAGCAAATTCGGCTCCTGTTAATTTTACTTGGACGTAGTGTTATGGAAACCAAAGGTGTACCATCTTCAACACGCTGTCAACAAATCAAGTTAAGTGTTCTTTCCGAAACCCGTATATCTATCATTAGTGGCCATTAATGTCATTGGGTAGGGTGACCCGGTTAGAACGCGAGGCAGCCTCAAACTAAAGGTAATTAAGCCAGGTCTTCATGTTCCATGTATAGTGTTTTCTCTGATATAGCTTGTCATATATAGAATCTGGCTTTACAGCTAGCGCCCTTTTGACAGGTCAAGACGAGGAAGCATAGACTTTGTGTGCCAGTTACTGGGTGATGGAAGCTACCTCAAAGAGGATAATTTGGTGTCTACACCCTAGTTATACCTGGTGGACTAACCTGCTGTACTATAAGATAAGGAACCTTTTCAATGTATGTAGTTAATACTGTAGTTTGATTGGCTGCATATATATTCAATTAATATAAACCCCCCCTAATGTGTAGAGGATCGATTTGTGAGAATGAGATTATTGCAGAAATACAGTCCACTTAACATCATACAAATTGTTATCGAAGTATATAAATTAACGTAAATATAAATTCATATAAATTAAATAAATATAAATCTCACAGGTCGGTTCCCACACATATAAATATTTAAAAAAAATATTTTGGTTGTTGGTAATTTATAACAAAATATGTCTGCAATTGTCAATATTACCAAAATATAATTGCATTTTTATTTTTATATTCATTCTGTCATCAGTTAAAATATATTTCCATAAAATTCTTCCGACATGCAGAGAAATAATTGCATTAATTGCAGACTCTTCGTACCTGATTCTCCGTTGTGCCTGTTGGACGTTGATCAAGATGGTATTCATCATGGAGAACGTCCAATGTCGCTGAAGAAGGGCTTGAACCTGCTGCAGGGGCAGGCGAGTCACCAGCAGCAGCCTAGTCTCCCACACCAGGAGACGCGCCCGCTGGGCCTGCTGGGCGAAGGCGGCGAGGAAGACGGGGTCCTCGCTCGCCACCACCACAGTCGTCCCCCAGGACCCACGCCGCACCTGCAGCTTGCATGTATCAGCGCCATCTTCACTAACGCCCATCAGGACCACCTCTATGTGTTCCTCAGGGTCATATTCACCAGTGCCGCTTCCCCTCCTCCCGCCACAGGTTTTTGGTTTGGTGTATCAACCACGAGGGATATTAAAGCCGCAACATTACCTTACTCAACTCTTCGGCAAGAATACTTTAGTCCTCAACTTTGTTAATGTTAGTTTTGGTCTTGAGACCCATCAACCACGAGAGAGTTATTAAGGCCATCACAAGAGCTTACTAACCAGCCTGCAAATATATAATTTAGGCTGAACTCAGTTGACTATTGAAATGAACTTTCAACATAAATACGCTGCTCGATGTGAACATTATTTCCCGATATGTTGGGGTCATGTTTCGGTACATATGCCTTGCATTCCTTTGTAACGGAGGCCACTGTTAATCCCAGCCGTTTAACATGGATTATTTCAGCTCTAGTCATTTTATGCCAACGCTTATATATATAATAAATATAAATATATAAAATCATGCGTTTTACACCATTGGGGTGAAACTATTAAATAGGCCTGTGTGATGGCTTTGCGAGATTATACATTCTTGTGGGACATTGAGACTGACCTTCCTGACGGCAGTGAGGTGCTGTAGGAGGGAGGTGTTGTCGGCGCCTCTCAACCTCCACACGCCCCACGGGCACCCGATCTCCACTCTCTGCACATATACACAAGTAATAATGTGACAATACATCTGTATAAAAGTATCATTTATGTGTGATAATGGTTAATATATTTTTAATAATCTGCCTCACTACATGTCTAATCTTATTCAGCACATGAGGTTTATATTTTACATTTATTATTATTATTTTACTTTTGCTGCCTGCATGATTGTTAACTCTCCCAGGCCGTAACTCTCCACACAAAGCACGTTCACTATTATAAATCTCCACAAACTCTCGATTATTCGGTGACATGTTGACCATCCACATCTCTCACTATATAATATTGCCAGGCAGTGATTTCTTCAATTCCTAAACCATCTCTTTAGCCTAAGGTTAAAGAACTTTGTGTGTTCGAGAACTTGGCTTGGGTTCGTGAACTTCGTGTGTTTCTTGTACGTATTGCACTTTGTACGTTGTGGCAAATCAAGAGAGCGGGCTGCAGAAGAGTGCATCTGGAGGAGTGTAACAATGTGGGAAGGACGCACCTGCAGAAGAGCTCTAGCGGAGGGTGTACCGTCGGTGAGAATGAGGATGGTGCAGTTAGGTGGAGAGGCGGCCTCCATCACGCCTCTCACGGTGTCCCCTGCGTCAGCCAGCCCTCCTCGCCCTCTCGCTGATACTGAAATACATCTATGAGCCGAAATACCTCCATGAGGCGAAGTACATTCATGAAGTGGAATACATCCAAGAGAATGATTACAACCAGGAAGCCTAACATACTGGGATGCACCGATGCCCTCTCAAAGAGAAAGGTGCCACAGGGATGAACGTAGCCTAACAAGCTGAATTTTCATGAAATAATATTTTTGCAAAAACAAATGCTTATGGAATGGATTAAGCTTTTCATTACATTATATATGATTTGAATTTTTTAGTTTGAGCTAAAACTATCAGAAATTTGATCAAACCTAGCTTAACCTACCTACCTAACCTAACCAATCCTAACTTAACAAAAACTGTCAGTAATTAATGTTCTTAATATAGTAATATTAATTATAATAAACCAATTTGGAAAGAAATATTTGAAAATAACGAAAATCACTGTCTTTTAGGGCAAATCGTGTCTTGCATACTAGGTCAAGTAGTGCAAACCATGCTTAAGGAACAGCATCGTATGAAAAACATCATCAACGTTGAAGCATTGCTGCAAGTACATTGTTTGCTTAGCTTTGTCCTGGGATTACAGACATATACACACAAAAACACAGAGGAGATAAGTAGCATCATAGACAGAACTGAGGCAAGTTTAATGCCATAGACAAAGATGAGGCAAGTATGGCGTCATAAACAGAGAGGGGGAAGATATATATGGATACACACAGGTAACAAGTAGCGCCAAAAACAGATTCGTGAACTGACCTAGTGATAGAGGCAGAGGGGGGACGGAGTACACACACTGAAGGATGAGTCCCAGCACCGCCACCACAAGCACTATGTAAAAGACACATCGAACACTTTATGTAGGGCATATGTAAATCTGTGTGTTTATGCATTTACGTATGTAGCTTAGCCTAGCATTTTAAAAGCACTACAATCACCTGTGGTTGATTGTTCAATAAATCCCTGAACTATATGTTTAACAAATCTCTAACCCTGTCTATGGAGGACAGAAGAAAAAGTATATATGCTGCTTAGCATTGTTAATGTGTGGTCACGTCTGTGGTAGAAAATAATAATACTAAAACAACACAAGCCACATCCCAGCCTAGCCTGCTTCCTGCTGTTCATGCGTGTGAAAGCGATTACTTACCAAGTATGTCTCAAGTTCTCATACTTCATTTTATGAATGATCAGGATGTGATCTCAAGTCTAAACTGACCAAAATGTTTATACAAATACAAAAACGGTAATAATACAGTAAACATAAAAGTTTATTAAGCTGTTTTATGTATGAACGTTGTATTGCTGTATAACCAAATTTTATGTTATGTTTAAATGTATGGTAACAACATTTTTGCACACGCTTGAGAGCAATATACTGTAAACAGAGTTTCATACATTAATAGATTTTAACACTAAGCTTGCAAATACTTTTCATTTAGAGAACCACCAAATTAGATTTTACTAAGAGATACAGTTTAACCGAATACTTTACTAATACAAGAAAGAGATACTCACTAATGTTGCTAATTTGAGGAGCTTACTGGCTACAGTTGAAGTGTTCCCACACGTTGACCAGTCCCCATAATGTTAGTTCCCGCTTCTGGTGTTGGAATATATACAAGCGGCTGTTAATCTCAATTATAAACAAAATCTGATGCAAAAGGTCGTGCTGAATATTGCCAAAGTTAGAATTTGTTTATATTTGTGTGAAGACCTTATCATTGGTCAATAGGAAGCGACTACATCACCTCGTTCTAGAATACGTTGCTGTGATTGGTGCATTGAAACTCTGTGGATATAACCCATTGGTGATAATCAGTGGTTCAATGAATACACTGGTTATCATGCTTGGATTGGTTGACTGGATCTGAGTCTGGAAGATGGTACCCAATCACTGGTCTAGAAGATGCTTTCCAGTCGCAAACTATTCCCGAACACAGATTTTATGGCACTGTAATTCTTTGTACATCATGAGCCGGTTGACTGACAGATTAAACCTTCCTGTTCTCTCATGGAGTTGTAACATTGACAGGTGAGTGGTGGGCTCTCTGGTGTTGTTGATCTACCATGCATTAAGAATTAGTTAATTGTAAATTCAAGTGTGGGGCAGTATTATTTTTGAGCCCCTGCACATTATAAGTTGACTATCCAGAAGTCAGTTTTGATTGTTGCCGCCGGGGGGGGGGGGGGGGCGACTAGTTTATTGAGGACCCCCGAACACATCCTGTGAGCGGTAGCGCAAAAAAGATTACAGAGGGCATAACATGTCTTAATCCGACCTCAACGGAGATTATTACATTAACAATTAAATCTATTCTGCACACCTTATAATTATAATGTATGCTAGTACTGAGATTGTTCCATTTCAATAGCTATTTCTTAACAATGTGTACAATGTTCCTCCTGTAATTCTAAATATAATATACATGCTATGGATCGCAGCCATATATTACTTGATATATCAAGTATTTCGATAGTAGCAATATATACCTGATACTTGAAGAGGTTGGAGTGTTAATCAGTAACGATAATCGATAGCTTTTTCTACGTGTTACTTTGCATGCACAGGTCACTTAAAAATGGATATTTGGCAATACCCAGGGAGGAGTTGGGAGCTCTCTCGGTCTCACCTGAAACCAGTTTGTGGACTCGTGATGGATGGTTGCACGGAGACGTTCTCAACTACAGTATTACCTTGCTAAGTTTTCCCCTGGTAATTTTGTAATTTTTACCAAAAGTAAAGTATTTTCATAATAATAATAAATATTGTAAAATATGTAATATGTTTAAGTACGCAACTGGCAACTCTTAAAAAAAAAACAGATCCACTAAGCAGAGTACTTTACCTACCTGCATTTTTTTTAGACTTTCATCCCTGGATCAAATCAACCGTCTTTATGGTACGCGCAGAGTTTAGTCTTAACCTTAAGTCTTTAGACCTTAACTAGAGTTTAGTCCCATCAGTCAGGATCCGTCTGCAAAAGGTCATCCACATGATCGGTAAGTAATCGTTTATCACTGGCGGCTTAAGTCTTTAAACTTTAGACATCTGAAGCTTTGTTGAAGGACTTGAATCATTTAGGACTTCGGCTCCGTGGACGTTGATCGGAACAACCAATCCTTAGACGGCCCTGCCACAGAATTAGGCAGCCCAGCCTCACTCATCTGGTAGACCGTCCTCACTCATCACTTGGCCCGTCCTCACTCATCACTCGGCCTATCCTCACTCATCACTCGGCCCGTCCTCACTCATCACTCGGCCCGTCCTCACGCATCATGGATATATACACCGACGGATCTTTCAAACTGTACAATAACCCACAATTATTTCTCACATATAAATTGATATGGGGATTTATTCAAAGGTAGATTTAGCTATGATTACGTTAATTTGAGGAATGTTTACAGCACAGGGTGAAAGTGAACTAAGCTAATTTCGAATAATAGTTTCGAACATGGTCCAAGTGAGTCAAATAAGTCAAATACTATATATACCGCAACCCGTTCTCATAAACAAAGGCTAATGTCCATTCCATGCACCCGCCAAATCCCCTGCTTGTGAATTTAGGATATCAACTACACGGACAACCACGCCATTAGCAAGGTGGATTTTGTAAAGCTCAATAGGTTTCCTGTCCCTGATAATGAGGAAACCAAAATCAGTCTCCGTCTCTTTATCAGTCTCTTTAACAGTCTCCGTGGTGTAGTGGTAAGACACTCGCCTGGCGTTCCGCGAGCGCTATGTCATGGGTTCGTATCCTGGCCGGGGAGGATTTACTGGGCGCAATTCCTTAACTGTAGCCTCTGTTTAACACAACAGTAAAAAAATGTGTACTTGGATGAAAAAACGATTCTTCGCGGCAGGGGATCGTATTCCAGGGACCATAGGATTAAAGACTTGCCCGAAACGCTACGCGTACTAGTGGCTGTACAAGAATGTAACAACTCTTGTATATATCTCAAAAAAAAAAAAAAAAAAAATCAAGAAGCGAGAGGAAAATACACTCAGTACCCCCTCGAATAGAGTTTTCTTTAATCCATATTGAGTACATTTTCTTTTAAAATTCAAGGAGAAACAATAATATTTAGCAACTGCGTTATAATTCATTATTAAATATATAATCATTATTTCCCGTTGTCGGGAACAAGAGACCTGTTAGGTATATCGAGATAATCCCCAGGGCCCTAGGCTAAAACGGACCGACCATCCCCAGGATATAACTCGCAACAGTCGACCAACTCCCATGCACTTGCCTGCCTCGGAGTTTAAGATATGAGGCCACACTACGCACAGTGGTGTGGGGTGGCATATATATAAAACAAAAAGGTATCCACTTTGATTTAGAGATTCAGTTGGGTTTATTTAAAAGAGCAGCGACGACACGTAGACGGACTTCCCTTTTGTCACTTCTTAAACCCTACTCACAAAAATGTAGGGGAAAAACGAGTCATTAGGTGTTGACCAGACCACACACTAGAAGGTGAAGGGACGACGACGTTTCGGTCCGTCCTGGACCATTCTCATTAGGTGTAAGGAAACGTGTGCAAACGTCTCTCCGAGGAAATCGAGCCCAAGACCAATTTAACCATACCTCGGCCACAAACATCACTGTATGTAACTGGCTGTTGATGAGAATGAAACCAAGTTTGAAAGGAAAAAAAATGAAACCGGAATTCCGAACGTTTTCGGGTTTCAACACATTTTCAAGGAGCACAGACAGAAAAGACGGGTTTGGGATAATATAATCCTTACACCTAAGTAGATTAAGATCCATAAACATAATATTCAGGCTAGTGGAAGGGAAAATAATATATATTATTTGGTATTATTATAAAAAATACCAAAATTAAGCAATATATGTTTACTGTGATGGCTTGGCACCTACGGGCGGAACGGAAGGATGTGAAGTCTTGATTAATAAGGAGTTCCCAGACATCGGCACCGTAGACTGTTACTTCATATTGCTTAATTGACAATTAATTGACGCAGGCTGAACTTCAAGCTATATATTAGCTGTATTAAAGGAAGTATAGTTACACATTCAGGGGAGACATCTCCCGTCAAGCAGGGTGCAGGCGCACCTCCACAGATCTCCAGTATCATCTATTGATACTGGTGATGGCTCAAAAGGGGCCACCACTTACGGGCTATTCATGCCCGTGCCACCTTTTGGGTGGCTTAATCTTCATCAATCAATCGGAAGTAGTTAAGAGCAGCAAAGGTGCATGTTATTTTATTAATAGTAAAGAGGAGCGTTGGAGTCATTAAAGACCATTAAATCACCTTATTGTGCCCGAGTGTAGGGTGATCGTTAAGAAAATAAAGACAAATTGTTGTAAAGTAAATTTTATGTGGATCCCTTCACATGTATACAAATTGTTAATTGAGGCAATTGAAGAAATAGCGAGGAGGATCACGTTAAAAACTCTAGTCGTTATAGGTCAAAGAACTCTGAAACAAATGAAGACATGGATTAAATGGATCCAAAAGGATATGGGAAAAAGGTCAAAAGCTCTATAATGAAGGACAAGAGTAACACACTATCTTGAGGTTATCTTGAGATGATTTCGGGGCTTTAGTGTCCCCGTGGCCCGGTCCTCGACCAGGCCTCCACCCCCAGGATGCAGCCCGTGACAGCTGACTAACACCCAGATACCTATTTTACTGCTAGGTAACAGGGGTATAGGGTGAAAGAAACTCTGCCCATTGTTTCTCGTCGGCGCCCGGGATCGAACCCGGGACCACAGGATCACAAGTCCAGCGTGCTGTCCGCTCGGCCGACCGGCTCCACTAAAGCATTACGTACAAATAAGCACAAACTCATCCTTCACATACAGAAGAGTTCGATTCCCGCACGAGGCAGAAACAAATGGGCAAAGTTTCTTTCACCCTATGCCCCTGTTACCTAGCAGTAAATAGGTACCTGGGAGTTAGTCAGCTGTCACGGGCTGCTTCCTGGGGGTGGAGGCCAGGTCGAGGACCGGGCCGCGGGGACACTAAAGCCCCGAAATCATCTCAAGATAGTATAAATATTACTAGCAATATGGTAACACTGTTGACTGGATGTTCATGAATCGTTATGAATTCCCAAATTATATTCCATGGAGTATACTCAGAATATGCTGAGAATAATAGTGGATTATAAATAAGTATTTGATTTACATTTATGTAGTAAACATTATGATCTACAATACGTTATGTTTACTAATATAGAACATTATATTTAGCTTAACAGGGGACGTATGGCACGAAGCTGTTTTTGTTTTATAATAGTATATTATGTCAACACATGAATGAACGATAGTGTTTCAAACATTTTCATTGGTCAAAGAAGTGCTATGTTCTGTTTCAACCCGTCCTCAGACCAAGTCCATTCCATCCAGCGGTCGACCCCAAAGACGCATTCATCAATTTTAACATGCAGTTCATTCAAAATAGGAATTTTTTCAAATATAAATTAATATTATTTTAGATTAACATATTGTGCATGTTTAAGCATTGATTAGGTAAGGTGTTTAGGTTCTGTTAGCGACTATTTGTATTTGTAGAACCCATTTAGAACGTTGTGGTTCGAACAA